TAAGAAAAGAAGTGTACAGTTACAATTCTGTAGCGCTTTGTGATCACAACCAGATTCTGTAATCCCTACTCAGGGGGTTTTAAGAGTTCAATTTAGCTTGTTTCAGAGCATAGCATTGAGCTCTGCCAATGCTGCTCTCCCATACAACCCTCATCTGCGCCCTGGTCACACAGGGGACCCGCGGCAGGACAGGCTGCACAGCCAAGCAAAACCTCCCTGGTGTATCAGCTGCCCTGGATGGGGACCAAACCTCTTTTTTTTTTTTTTCTTTTCCCTTATGGCCATGTATTAAGATTCTTCTCCTATTTTGAATCTGACATTTGCTTTAAGCATCAGAGAAAAATGATAGCGGTTCAACTGCAGCCCAAGCAGTGAGTGCACAGCGTGGTGACTGAGAAACACCACGAGTCATTGCTATTGCCAGATATTCCTAGAGAAAATATTTAGGACGTGGTTCAGGACAGGATTTGTACTTCTGCCCTGCCACTGCTGCTGAAAGCTGCATGTGGGCACCTGGCTTGTGTGCCAGTGTCCCTGCCAGCAACCTGTGGGCTCTAATTTCAATGGGGCTTTGACCCACAGACAGGACCCTGAGCAGAAACATTCCTCCTCCCTCTCCTGTGTTTCAAACCATCTGACCTCAAGGTACTTGTGGCAGGCATAGGAATTGTCCCTCGGGTTCAGAGTGGCTATCCCACACTCATATTTAGGCACATGGTGAAATATCTAGCTGAGAGTGACATTTAAAGTTGAGCAACCCCTGTTGGTTATATGGATTTAATGAAGGAACTGTTAATTTCAGTGCTAGGTTGTGCACAGATAACTCAGAGAATCATTAAGGTTGGAAATGATCATCAAGTCCAACCATCAACTCATCACCACCGTGCCCACTGAATTGAAGTTACAGAGATACAGAGATGGACAGGAGTCAAGTGGGCTTCTGCAAGCAGCCCCAGCTGCTGACAACTTCTGCTGTCATCCCCCAGTATTACATCTCAAGATGGAAGAGCAACGGATATAAGGACAGTGGCAAGAGGATGCTCCCTCAGCAAAAGCGGTCCCTCACTGTGACACAGAGCTCTACCTCCATTTCCAGGCTGCTGTGAGATTAGAGAAACATTTGCTATCACAATGTTCCCTCAAGCAATCTGTGAAGGGCAGCCTGGGGAAGCATTTTGGTTTGATGTGAATTTAGGTTGCACTTTGGTGAAGTGTTTCATTCTAACCATGCTGATTAGGCTTCCCACAGCGACCATTGCACTGAAGGCAGGTCTGGCCAGAAGGTCCCTCAAGCATCATCTGCCCAACAGTTTGGAGAACCCACCCCTCTCTGGATAATTCAGTCCCACTGGGTGCTACGTGCAAGACTCCAGCGTGTGCAGTCTTCATTTCAGAAGGCTACAGCTGAAGAGAGATTGTAGGGATAACAATTGGAATAACACAATGGCCAAGCCATAGACCAACCCTTGGGAAAGAGAAAGGAGCTCCAAGAAGCTGGGGAGCCCTAGAGGTGCCCCTTCCTGGGACCTTCAGTGCCTCTCACTGCTCCGCTCCGGTGCCTTCGTGTGGGGGGAATACAAATTGGGCAGCACTGAGCATATGGAGGGGGAAGAATGCTCAGCTGTGAATTTCGGGATGGGTATTATACAAACCCAGCCACCAGCACATCACCTTTTCAAAGGTTTCAAATCCGCTACAAATTGCCTCTGAATGACAATGAGAATTTCTCGCCCTTCACAAAGCCTCCCATATTAGCATCTTTATTGGAATAAACTAGCTAATTTCTCCAGTTGGAGGGTTGGTCTGGAGAATCCCTAATTCCAATTAGATGGATATTCATCAAGCCGCCTGATGCAGGCGGGGAGGCAGGGAGGGGCTCACCACCTGCCAAACCCAGATCAGAGACAAAGAGAAGGGGACGGCTCCGTCCCCAGGGCCAGCAGCAAAGCTGGACATTGCGGGGTCCTTTTAATCCTCAATTTGTTCTTTGTGGCACTTGGTAATTCCCAGGCGCAGGGTGGGGAGGCTGAACCCAGCCTGGCAGGAATAATGATAAATCTGTGTGCCTTGCTATTGCTAAGGTGCCTTTGATGACAAATATACCTTCTACTAAGGCAGGCTGAGTGCAGCTGGGCTGAAGCACACACGGACCAGAGGGAGGTACAGTCTGTCTGTCCGTCCATCCATCCCAAACAACCGTGCAGCAACTTGTAATGAGGTTCAGTGTCAGCATTTATCTTGTAAAATGGGCAGTGGGATTTCTCCAAGCCAAGGCCTGATGCCTTGCACTTGGCTGCACTGCAAAGGTGAAATTTCTTTTGTTGCCATTGATAAATTTCACACAGAGAAATGAAAAAAAAAAAAAAAGATAGAACTTGAAGTTCACAATACAAATATCCTCAAACTAAAATCTGATGATCTTGCAGGTAAACTGAGTTAATTTTTCATTATGAACCAAAAACATGAAGAGGGCTTTTCTTAGACTTTAGCTCCCTGCAGCAGGGTTTTTTTTAGATGTCAGGGGAAAATTTTTCACTCAGAGTGTTGTGGATGCCCCATCCCTGGAGGTGTCCAAGCTTTGATGGGGTCCTGGGCAGCCTGGTCTAGTATTAAATGGGGAGGTTGGTGGCCCTGCCTGTGGCAGGGGGGTTGGAGATTCATGATCCTTGAGGTCCCTTCCAACCTGGGCCATTCTGTGATTCTGTGATTCTGTGATTCTGTGATTCTGTGAGGTACTGGCATAGCTGCCCAGAGAAGCTGTGGGTGCCCCAGCCCTGGAGGTGCCCAAGGCCAGGTTGGATGGGGCTCTGGGCAGTCTGAGCTGGTGGGGGCAAGCAGTCCATGGCAGGGGGTTGGAGCTGGATGGGCTTTAAGATCCCTTCCAACCCAAGCCATTCTATGGTTCTATGATATTACGAGTATGTGATTTATTTGGACATTCCTAGTGCAGCACTGGCTTGGCCCATGGCTGGGCAGTCAAGATCTGGCCAGGAATGGCACAGATCACCTGGAGTGACTGACAGCAGGAGGGTATTTTCCCTTTGCTTTTAAGTTCTTGGATTTAAGCTCTGGGACGTGGTTGTCCATGGCAGTGAAGCCTTCAGTGGTGGCAGATCCTTTTGCATCAAGCCCACATTGGGTGGATTTCTCAGTTCTTCCCAACTAATAAACACTGTCCCCAGTCTCCCCATGCTGTTTGTCGCACATCCCATGCAAAAAGTCCCAACACTGATCTCTCCTCACCTCCTCTGAGGGTTAATGGAAACAGGAGATGCCGGTAAACAAGGCTGGGCTGCGGAGGGGAGCAGGTCAAAGGACAAAAATGAGGACAAGTCTGCACATAGCCTTGTGGCTGCCACCTGCCCCAGCCCCAGGATGGAAATTGCTGCCTGACTCTCTTCCTCCCATTAAAGTATCTCCCTTCATCAAGACTGTGCCTATTTGGGCTAAAAAAAAAAAAAAGATTAATTCCATTTTTTTAGAGGGTTTGTTCTCCCTCAAACAAGAGGCTTCTGAAACTCCTGTGAAAGCAAATCATCTCCTTCTGTATTTTTGCAGGCTGTTTTCTGAGGCACAGGGGATTCTGCTGAGGAGGGGATCTGACCCAACGTGTGAAGAGCAGTGTGCAGTTACTGACCATCACCTGGAGCATGGGGCTGCTGCCCTGCCTGATGTGACCTGCAGGACAAAGACATGCAATGGTGCAGAATGACAGTGCTGCTTGCTTTGTCACCGGGATTGAGCCTTGCTATGGACTTATTTATGGTGGAAAAATTGTATTTGAGAATTGCTTCACCAAACTCTGACAGGCAGCCGCTGCTGGGGTGGGAACCGTGAAGGGTCTGTAGGTTGCCCTATCCCTTGCAGGTGCTGTGATCCCAAATATCTTTCATCAGTGCCCTGGTGATGGGATTAGCATGCATTAAGAGTTTCTCTTCTCATCTCTCCCAGGGAGGATCAAATGCAGTGAAATATCCCATTTTGCTGGTTGCTTTTTGAAAAATGCTTGGTATGTGTTCATGTTAGGAACTCAAGGTCAAAGGAGCAGGAGCACGGGACACGGGGCTGCATAAACCCTTTTAGGACATTGGGTTCGGTCCACTCATTGTAGTCCTGTTTGCAAAACTGTTTTAAAAGTAGTGTGTTTGTTTACCCTCAGCACATGTGCTACAAAGGCTCCTCCTGAATCACCAGTGTTTTCTGGGAGGAAATGTGGAAGGAAAGCTGTGGGTCTTGTGATCCCTTGTCCCTTAGCGAAAGACCAGCCCTTGTACCAACACCCCAGGAGCATCTGTGAGCATCCTCTTCTTCTGGAGAAGCTTCCACTCTACCCAAGGAGCACAGAACCGTTGGTGAGGTTTATCCCATTGCTTTATGTTGGCTGGTTAGCTTTGAGTTTGAAAGTTGTTTTGACAGAAATCAGCACTGAGCAGAGACCAGCACTGTAGATTGCATTAAGGGATGAGTAAGAGGGGATGTTGAGGAAATTGCATCCAGCTGAAATAAGGTATTGGAGCAGGTGAGTTTAAAAACCAAAAGTCACTTAGGCTGCATGAATATATGAAGCACGTGGACACTGAAGCAGGTGGACACTTCAGCAGTGACCACCAAGTCAGCCAGGTCACTTACCTGCCATATGGCTTGAAGCAGGTCCTGCACTGAATGGTGCAAATAGCAAGGCCACAAACCCTCTCAGGAAAGAAATTGACAAAGACAGGGGTTATGTATACATGAATATATATATATACAGCAAGCGGTGGGGAGAAATTAGTGATAGCACTACTTGTTTGCAGCAGCAGGCTGCTAAAAGACAAGCTACTTGTTCTTTTTCAAAGGCCTTGGGGAAAAAAGGGCCATCATTTCCAGGCAGGAATTCTTCTGAGGAGAATATTTTTGTGCCTGGCTGAGAAGAGATGAAAAGGTCAAAGAAAATTAAATTCACATGCTCAGAACATTTTGGGGCAGGTGTTTTTCCTAAGCCAGATTTCAGGCTTGGGAGGGCATACCCAGGATTTATGCCCCTCCTAACATTTCACCTGTTGCATGAGCACTGGAGGGCAAAGGATTTCACAGCCCTGGCAGCCTGGCTTCTCTGGACCCAACTCAAAACTTTGCTTCAAGCTCATTGCAATTTGTACAGCTCGAATGAAGGCTCAGATGAGCACTCCGGTCTGGCTGCTCATCACTGCATTTCACTTGGCATGTAGGCTACGGATGAGGAATGCACAGAATTTCCTTTTCCACCCCGTCAGATCCTCTGTCTTGAGCCTGGCCCAGCCCCAAGAGCACAACGGATGCAGCTGGAGAAGGGCAGGTCCAATCTTGCTGCTCAGCTCCAGTGACACTTAACCTCCTCTGCTGCTGAGCTGCTTGCAGCTGGCAGTGGATGCTAATGAGCATCAGCCTACTGAAATGGCTCATCAGGGAAGGAAGGGGAGCTGATTTCTTTGACTGGAGAAGGCAATAGAAGCTGGAGCTTTTGTGGGAGAAGGTGACCCTCAATCTTAATGAAGGTGGTCTTTGGTTTTGCAGCTTGGTTTTTCTATTGCTGTTGATCTGCTTGAGAAGGTAACAGGACTATAGGTCTCTCCTCTGGCTGCTAAATTTGCTGTCAGCAGTTTTGCCCCTCTGTAAAAATGACCGCAACTAACTGTAATTTCTTAGTACATGGGAATCAATAGGGAGCTCTGAGCTATCAAATAACGAGGTCAGTTAATCCCTGGCATTGCTCTAGAGAAGATGTTGGGGAAGAACAGCAGCCTTTTGGGGCAGGCTGTCTTCTTGGTGACACCTATGCTCTGTGGGACAACAAGGCTTTCCCACAGGTCTGTTAGCTTGGCCTCGGTTGCGAAGGGAGCTGTAAACATAGGATCAAATTCTGTCTTATCTCATCCCTAAAAATGATTTTTCTTGGCCCAGAATGGAACACTAACTGGCTTTCTTCCTAAAGCAGCTGTACAGCAACGATGGGATTGAATGAGTCCTCTCCCTCGAGCTTAAGCACAACCCGTGGATGGGTAGAAAACTGCTGTTGTATCTCTGATACAATAATATATATTGTATAACATAACAGTAATTCACACTGTGTCTGAAGATACCTGTATTTAATTGCTGTCAGTGATGGCTTTACTGGTTGAAGCATCTTTATCACATTAGGAAAACAAGTTTTGCTCCACTTTTTTCTCCTAAGAAATGAAGAAGAGAATTTTATTTATATATTAGTTTTGGTGGAATAATCCCAACAAGCAGTGCATAAGTTGCTGCAAGTCAGATTCAAAAGGTGTTAGAAAGTATTTCTCTTCATCCCCAGACCATAGCTTTCCTTTAAGGGAAGAACAGTGTCTTAAAAATAGCCTGTAATTGATTTTGTTAATTAGTCTTTATTTTACTTATATATTTAATTTCGTTGACGTAGTTAAAGGCTGCATAGGCTGAGAGAATTAGCATCGTTTTTTCTCCTACCTACTTCTTTGCCTGAGAATTTCTAGGACTGTTAAACTTTCTCTTTTGATTTCTGCAAGAAGGTCTTCCTTTGCAGGGTAGAAGCAGGTTTGCCTAATAATGTTTATTAATGTAATCAAAATATTAACAAAGACCTTCTTTAAACAAAGTGCTGGCTAGGCACTGGATGAAATATCTGCTAGCAAAACCTGTAAGTCTAAAGTAGAGAGGAACTTTGCTCAATCACTCAGCTTTGTGTTCCTAATGGTATTGTGATTTTACAATTCAGTAACCATATAGATCTCAATTGTCCCTTGATTTTTGCAGCATCAAAGAGAAATAAAAACTCGTTTTCTGAGAGTTCTCAGGCTTCTTTCTCCAGCAGCAAAGCACCTAACCTTAGTTCTTGGACATATTGCTCTCTTTGGCCTCCTTGCCAATTATTATGGGTTGGATTTAGTTTAACCCAAAGCAATCATCAGGTCACTGTGACTCTGGAAACAGTTTTTATTTTTTTAATAACTATCTTGCTCTTGTCTCCTTTTGTCCTTCCTTTCTTGCTGTAAAGCAAAAGGCTTCAGTTGTCTTTTCTCCAGAGAGATCAACAGCAGCGTGTGGAACGAGCACTGTGCTAATGAAATCCTGTCCTGGCTTAATCTAAACAGGGACTTTGGCTAAATTCTGTTTGCACAGTGACCCCCCCAGAACAGAACGTCCTGAGGATGGCTCAGCCTGTGGGGTGGTCCTGGAGAGACTGAGCCTAAGGATTTCACCCATGTGCTGGGATCCCGGTGCTGATCCTATCCACAGCTCCTGCTGCTTTGGGGACAGGGCAGGAGGGGAAAAAAAAGCAGTGATGGGGAGGAAGGGTCCTGCTGAATGGTAGAGCATCCTGCTCTGTATGCCTTCTCTCTGCAGGTAAGGGCAGAGCCTACCTTACCAGTGCACAGCGTGGAAAATTCCCTCTCAGCCTCCAAAGCATAGTGCAGGGATGCAGGATGTACAAAATGGACAGCATTTGAAGTGTTTCCTTATAGGATAATCAGAGGAAGTCATTGTATTAAATATCCATTTGTGTCATTAGCCTTTTATTTGGTGCTTTGTCCAGACATCCTGTTTGCTTCCCCTTTGAAGTAATGAATGTTTCCTGCGTGCCGGGTCCCATCCAAAGCTCCTGTGCAAAGGTACCGAGCTGAGGTCAGTTGTGTCCTCAGTGCATCTTGGGTTCACCTTGTGTGAGGAATTCTGGGGTAAATCTAGAGCTCACCTGTTGCCCTCAAACCGCCCTCCTTGTGCTGCGAGGACAAAGAGTCAAAGTTGTCACTTCCTGGTATTTGAGACCTCACGCTATTCTGGTTGGATGTTACAGCAACATCAGCATGTCACGCTGAGTGCCTCTGAGGTTACAGGTCTGGCACACAGAGCAAATGCTGAACTGTAATTCCATATGTTAGGAGGCAGCAGGTGGGAAGAGCTGGGGCCTCTCTGTCTTTAAACCTAGGAGGTGACAAGCTGCTCTACATCCCTCTCCCTTCCTCCTTCTTGTTCCCATACAGGGATCGGTGTCCTGCTACTTGTCTGCAGCAGCTGCCTCATATCTGCTACCTTATGGACCCCTTCCAACTCAGGATATCCTATGATTCCTCCTCCATCATCCTTCTGCTGAACCTGGGACCTCCACAGTGAGCAGCTAAAGGCATTCTGTGTCTACACCAGGGAGAAGAGAGAAGCTCTCTGTGAGGCCTGGAAGTATGATGCATGCTTATGAGCAGGCTCTAGGCACATACAATGCACTCATTAAATGCCACAAGGAATGCTGTGCCAGCAGGAGGGATTCTAGCCTCAAAAACCACTGCAAGAGCTGCATGACCCCTCATCCCCAGGTGGAAATGGGAGGACACTTCCATCTTGTAATCTGCATCTTTCAAAGAAGTGCTCTCCTTATTTTTTGCCAGTTTGGGAAGGGTTAACGAGTGAAGCACAGCCCCCAGGGGCCAGCACTGTTGTTCCATGCAGATTGGCTTGTTCTTGTTTCTTCCATCGATCGCAATCACTCAGAGCTGTGCCTGTAACAAACTGCCTTAAATCATTGCAATCATAATAAGCACACCTTGGTAAATAATGCATGAGGTATCCATAAGCCTATATTCATTAGGAGGAAGGCGCATATAGAGCATGGTAATCATCTGGGCTCAAGGAGGGGCTTGGCTGGTGGGGCTGAGCTGGGTTTGGGGCAGGCTTCCCAGCCCCTCCAGATGTTGGAAATGTAGGCAGGTTCCTTGTCACCTTCATGAATTTTGCACGAGATGTTTTAAATGCCTCTAAGGTTCGCAACGTAATACAGGTTGGGTGGAAGTGGGCTTGTGGCGAGAATCCAAATGGTATAACAGCAAGGCATCACAATTAATCTGTTTAATACGTTTTAATGACTCAAAGCATGTAGTGCGTAACAAGTTGTGCTGTGAGAGCCTCGTAGCCAAGTTAATGGTCTGGATATTAGAAGCTATTGTTTTAAAACAAATTAAAAATGCTTTGTTTTCCCTTTGTCTTGAGGAGCAGAGCGGTGTTGCAGCATGGAGCTCCTTTAGGGTGGTTCCATTGGGTGTTAGTGCCATCCTGGTGCTGTGGCCTTCACTGCAAGGTTTTCAGGACAGACTGCAAGGGAAATTAGGCAGAAATTTTCCCCCTTTTTTTTTTTTTTTGTGTGTGTGTGTGTGAAATGACAACAATAAGAACAGTTTTCTTTTGTACGGTTAGAAGGGATGGAGCCGCAGCAGAAGCATTCCTGCTCATATCAGACAGCTGTGGATGGCAATGGGTCATTTCACTCCATTATGGTTTCTGGCAAGTGAGTATTAAAGGGTGTGTGAGGGCATCGTTTCTCAGCGATGACTTCATTTGGCTGTCTAAACAAACAGCCGTTCCTCACCAGGTGCAAAGGGCCTTCTATTTGTTTTTTAACTCTGTGAAGGGGAAAAAAAAAAAAAAAATACCTAAAGGGAAAATAGCAGATCCTGTCTGTTTGACAGCCACGGTGGTCTCTGCCTCCTCAGAAAACAGCCGCAGTGAGCACTGTGGGGACAACTCGCTCCTTGTTCAGCCCCAGTGGATGTCTTTGTTGCCAGTCTGTTCGAGGGCCTCCAAACCACAGACCTCCTGGTGATGCTGGTTTGCTGAGGGCTGTCTATATCCAACAACCCAGTCCCTAGAAGTGCTCAAAGCCAGGCTGGATGGTGCCCTGAGCAGCCTGATCTGGTGTGGGGCAACCGTCCCATGGTGGCTGGTTGGAGCTGGGTGGGCTTTTAAGGTCCCTTCCAAGCCATTCTATGTAAATTTGGAAGTACTGGTGGGTCTGCTGGCCCTGGAAGGAGACATTATCTTTGAGAGCTCCCAGAGATCCCATCTCCACTTGTAACCAAACCAGAACGTTTCTGCTTTATACACGCAAACCATTTACATGTACTTCAGAGCCCTAAGTAGACCACACTTTAGATAAATTTAAAAACTCCGCTCTCCTGTTGGCAGACACTTCCTAAACTTTCACAAACTGCTATGCCTTCATCTCTGAAGCTGTGTTTTTGTCCTTGATGCTCTTCCTGGAAGACTGTTGCAGAAATTCACAGCTGGTGGTTACAGTTAAACATAAGGAAGAACAGTCAAAACTTCTCCTTTCTAAAAACATGTATCTGAGTGCCAAGCTCTGCCTTATATCCAGGAACAGTCTGAAAAGCTCGGGATGATTTTTGGGTCCTGGGTTCTCTCCAGAATCAATTCTTTGTGCTTCCTTCCAGTGTAATTAAAGAAATAAATCCCCCAGGAGCTCAGCTCCTCGCAGAGCAGAGCCCCTGCTGAATTAAAGTGATGATCCTGTCTATTCTGCAGTGTTGTTAAACTATCTTTTTTTTTTTTTTTCCCCTGCAGTTCTAGCTGCATCATCTGTCACAGAAAGAAGCAAAATGACAAAGAGAGAAAAGATCAGTAAATTTTAAGCTGGAGAAGAAAGACCATTCAACCCAAGGAGAAGCAGATAAATGGGGAATCATTACCTTCACTGCCCTCATCTTCACACCAAGCTGCCTTGAGTGCCACTTGCCTGGGCGATGTCACAAGAGATGTGACCATGTGAAACCATGAGTCCTGTCCCCATCTCCTGGAAGTGGAACCCCTGTGCTGGGGTTTGCTGGGACTGGGCTTGATGTGGTGTGATGGGGAAGCAGCCCCTGGCTGTGCTGCTCAGAGCCCATCAGATTCACTCCAAGCCAGGAATTGGGCCGAAGTCTTCAAAGGTGAAAGGCTGATCCACTTGCCACCCCCCCACCGTGCTGCTGAGTCCCTCTGCTTTGTGAAGGAGATGCTGAATTTGGGGAAATCACTCCTGCAACCCATAAATGAATGCATTGTGAAAGCCCTGCTCACAAACACACTGCAAAGAAAGCCCAGCAAGGTTGCAGACAAAAGACAAGGACAATCAACTGAAAGACTCCCTGGCTTCAATTATGGTCTGGAATTTAATTCCAGTGAGTTTGGTGGGGTTTCCCTACCCCCACAGCCAATCAGCCCTAGGGAAAGGCCAGCTCTCAGATAGGCTTTTCGGAGGGCTCAGGACAGCCCGCAGAGCTATTAGGCTCCTAAGTGGTTTCTTATGCACAGAAAGTCCTGTAGATACCAGAAGCTTGTGCAGATTACTTCTGGGTGAAGCCGTAAAGCTGGAAGTGAAAGGAGCTAGGATGTTCTTGAGGCTTGGGAATCCAGGCTGCAGAGAAGAGAGGAGGGAGGGTTAAAACCTGTAAATAGTTCAGAGCTAATGAAATGGCTGGGTGTGGGGAAAAGGGGAGAATAGCTCCTTTTTTGAAAGCAGATGAGGCAAGCATGCCTCCCAACATACTTTGTGCTCATAAAACCCAGACTGGGTTTCTAGGTAACTAATGGAGATACCCTGGGGAGAAGTTTCTAAGGGTTTCTCACAGTTTCTAGATTTGAACAGCAATGCTGAATATTGACTGTGGTTGTTATGATCCAGGCTGACCTCCTGGCTATCCCTGTTAAATCCTAAGTCTTTGCATCCAAGTGTTGTCCTACGGCTGTTCATCCTTCTGTAGAACTCATCTCCATTTTGTGTCTTCTTTATCTACTAAGCCTCGATAGGAACAGGCATTGCACTGAAATCACTCTGGATGAACGTTGGTTCTGTTTGGGGCTTTTTCCATGCTGGCTCCCTTTTTTTTACTGAGCTTCAGACCAGTTAATCCAGTGCGTAAATGGGAATTGAGTGCATTCCTGCCACCCAAAACAGCAGAAGGCTCTTACCAGCTAAAAGTCGAATCTTAAATTCAGGAAATCCTGGCATGGCAAAATGGGGAATCCAGGTGGGATCTGTGCACAAAGCCTACTTAAATTCCAGTAACAAATTTTGTGTTGGTCATTGCTGTTTAAAAAAAGCATCTATAGGGCCAATAAAGAGCCAGCAGATCACCCCTGCAATGGAACAAATGGATGTCAGGATGGAGAAGATTCAGATCCTTCTGTTTGCAGCCTGTGCTCTGGTGAGCTGAAAGGACAATGGCATGGAGATAATTTACTGCTATGATTGAATTTAATATTGCTAGCGTATCCGTGCAAAGTGGTGGCCACACACAAGGATGCAGGACCCTTTCCCCACACAGACAGAGGGTGTAGGGTAAGTTCAGAGGAAGGAAACAGCACACACTGCTTCCAGAGGTCAGTCCTGCACAGATGAATGCAGGCTGCCACTGTGCTTGCAGAGCAGAAGGAGCTATAGATAAGGGAGAGGACTATATGTTCTGTACGTCCCTACAGCCATTGTTTTATCTTCAGATCTATTTGATTCCCCTACTATACAGTCTCTGGGAGGGCATACAAATTGAAAGCTAATTATGCAACTTGATACTATCAGTTGACAGCTGCCTATCTCTTCCCACATATCCTGAGAGAAGGAAACCACCTCCATACCTGACTTGCAGCCTATGGAAAAGCCAAGGTGAGCAGGCTGGGGGGTCAGAACACTCATACTATAGTCATCTTGTGTGGTTTCCTTTCTTGCATTCACAATTTGTGGTAGGAGCAGAAGGGTATTTCTTCAGCTCGATTGGGAAGAGCATCCGAATTATCATCTCCTTCACGGGGCTGAAGAGTTCTGATGGATGGGAAGTGCCCAGGTTTTCTTTCAGTTGGCAAATTCTGTGCTCTCAGTGATATCCTGATATCTGTGCCAATCTCTGCAGCTTTCAGACACCCCCTGCCCAGAGCTCAAACCAACCCACTGCATTTCAGATTATGTAGAGAACTTCTCCATTGGCAAACTCAGCCCATAAATAAGGTTTGAAGGATATTCCTGTGTTTCCCAAGAGCACGCAGCTTTTGAACTGCTATTTCCCCTGGAATTAGGAGTTCTGGAAGCTGAAGCCAACCAGATGATCAGTATCTCTAACCATATCATGAGGGCTCCTTTTGGGAAAACGCATCTGTATGACAAGTTGTCCTAGGTGTGTGAGTGAAGTGTTGAAAATCAGCTGAGGGGCAGAACATACGGGAAAGGTGCGTCTCTGGGTGTGCTGAAATTTTATCTCCAAATTGCTCATTAAAACTTCATTTTAGTGTCCTGATTCAGATCCTGTTTATTCACGTGCAGTCAGGAGTGATTTCACCTGAAGAAAAGCAACGCCCTGCATCCTGAAGCCCTCTTTGGTTTGGAGCACAAAACAATCTTCACTTAACCTCATTAGAAGCCCTATTTGAGGGGAATTCTCTGTCAATATTGAGTATAATCGCCTTTGGCCCACGCATCCTTTCCTCTACCTGGCTTTGACCATCAGCCCCATGTCTGTTATTTTTGGGATCCAGCAGTGCTGCTTTGGCAGGTTGTTGAGGCAGTTCTCAAGTAGTCATTCAAACGCTGTTCAAAACCCTCATCTAATAAGCTAGCTTCCAGAGCTGCACTCCATTCCAGCAACTCTCTTTGCCAGCTAGAAATTACGCTATTTTCCAATTTCATTATTACCTCTGTTTTTTATTACAGCATCATTAGAGTGAGAAAACTGGAAAGGAAGTGGGGATTGTATAATGCAGGAAATAGTGAATTAATACCTCTACCATATGATGGAATGGTGCAGAGCTGTGACAGTGTCAGGGAAATATAGAGCAAGTAAAGATTGTGCTGGCTGGATGAGGGTGAGACTTCTCTGCTTGCTCGGAGGAGTGTTTGCTCACAGAAATAACTGTTCCTCAGAAATGCAAGATTTGCATTTTCTTTCTGCATGTGCACGTTGCAAATAAAGCCATCATAAGGAGATGGAATGTGGAAAAAAATAGCTTTTATTGCAAATAGATGGGCTGTAGTGTGTTGGCAAAAGAAGGCTGATTTATTGCTTGAGAAACAGTGTCAGAGCATTTTAAGGAAGGGGCTATGTATGATGATAACAAAGAATTGTCTATTCCTCACTGTGTGGCTCTACAGTGCTAAGCCCTGAGAAGTGTTTATTAGCTCTTGAGCATTTATAACTACCAGCTTCAGCAGGCTGCAGTGAGTGGGAAAGCGCAGCTCCCACAGCCGGCAATGTGAAGGGGTGTGTCTTTCATTCTGAAAGGGTAGGCAGCACTAAGAGAGAAAAAAGCACCGGTTTTGCTCCTTTTCTTCATATCTGCTCCTTTTCTTCTTTTCCCGTGACGTCTATATTTTCAGGCTCTCTGTCCTTACAGTGACACACAGATCAGACCCAGTAAGTTACTGTGCACCCCGGAATTTGGGACGGACAGAAATAGGGTGTTCCTAGCTCACGGTTTCTTCAGCTTCTTGGATAAAAAGCCTCTGTGAAATGCATCTCCTATAAACCCATTTTGTTTGTAGTAACACCAGAAAGTAATTAAATGCTGGTATGTATCATTTTTATTTTGACGCTGCCTTCTGAGATGCTAAGCGATTCGTTAGCTTAAACAAGTCGGAGCACAATCTGCATGTGTCTGTTGTGCAGTTGTCAGATGGCAACAAATGTGCTTTTAATCACAGCTTGTTACTCAGATCGCTGGGTTGCGAAGGGATGCAGCTTTTGGAAGCGACTTCTTTTATATGTCTTCTGATCATCTTCCTTGCCTGACAGTGCTGCCATAAAGATGCTTCAGAGGAGCTGCAGGGTCGTAAGAGGGGAAAACAAAAGTATCCCAGGGTGAACCGAAAGGAACAACGGGCGCAGGACTCTGAATTTTCAAGCATCAAATCCGGATTATCCATTTCTAGAACTTCTCAAAGCTTTAAACTCTTTACAGCCTGTTGAGAGCAGAATGATCTCTGACTTCCTGAGAGGAGGCCAGCGCTGGGGTGGAAGGATGCAGCTGCTCCGCCAGCACTGAGCCCTTCAATGGGATGTGAGGAATCCTCCTGCATCCCTGAAACCAAACCAGTCCCTCCCGCATCCCTAAAACCACACAGGGGAGGGAAGGGGAAAAGCATTTATCTGCCACAAGCCACTAGCAGTTGTCCTGTGCCATCCCAGTGCCACTGGGGATTCTGGCTGGGCTGACCCCAGCAGGGCTTTGGAGGTCTGAGATTTGCAGGGGCAAATTATGGGATGTGAAATAAAATGCCAGGCGATGGATGGAGAAACATACATTTATTGAGGTGTAACAGTCAATTGCGTGGCTGTTAAAGAGGTGTAACTGTGTATTAAATAATCAGTTCAGCTGGAATTTGTTTAATATAATCACAGCCTATTAAACCTGAATTAAGTACAGAGTTAAGTGTCTCTGGGACACAGCTGAAAACACTGCCAGGAACGTTTTATGTTGCCTGAAACCCTTTGAGGAGAACTCCCACAAACATGCTCTCTGCGAAACTGCCCTTCATTTGATGCAGGAAACACAATATGGGATTTTGGGCTTTTTGTCTGAACTGTGGTTATCTAGCAAGTTTTGCCTAATCCGAGACTTAGTGTAGATGCAAAAATACCTGACTGATTTTCTGGAATGCCTCCTTCGTAGATTTTGTATGGCCTTTTACGGCTCACTTGCACATCTTTGCTCCCCTGCTCCACGTGCAGCCATTCACACCAGCGCAAAGTGAGTCCAAAGTAAATGCGAAATGCTGCGAAGTCAGCACAGATTTGCTCTGAGCTGGCTGGGTTCACAAGCAGGGGATGTGAACAAGGAGAAACTCTTTGGCTCTGGAAATGTGAGGTTGGAGGACCCCCACGGCTGCCCAGTGCTCAGCTCCCACTGCCTTCTCACTCTGTTTCCAGCAACACATGTTGGTTTGTGCCCCAATCCCTGGACTATGGGTTTGCAACCTGAGTGCCTCTGTGTAAGGAATGCAGCAGCCACAATCCTGTTCTCCTCCCTCCTGCTAATTAGCCCACGTTTAACACCCAGACAAAACTGCACCTGCACTGCCCTGGGAAGCACAATGCTGGAGCAGCAACAAAGCAGTGTGTCAGGGACCCTGAAAGCCCTGAGCTCCATTGCACGCAGCACTTTGAAAAAGAATGATAAAAAAAGGAGGAGGAGATTCTCTTGCTCCTACTTTTCACTATTGGAGAGAATGGGTGAAAGCCCACAAAAGCGGCTTAATAAAGAGGAGAGGGAGAACAAGGCGAGGGGAAGTGAGGGCAGGCTGAAAGGAAGGAGGACTTTCCAGGTTGCATTGTCCTCTTTGCCTTCCAGAGATCCTGAGTCAATGTCTCAAAAGCCGTCGATGACATCAAGTTGATTGGTTTTGCTGCAGCCCTTGAAAGCAGTGGTGGGGAATCGATGCAGCCCAGGATCTGCTTTTAGGAGGACAAAATGAGCCTTATTCATGGGCACGACAAAGGGTCCAGCGCTGCTTTGATGTGGTGACCAACCGATGGCCCCTTCACCTGTTTCTTCCCTTTGGAGGAGCGGTGCAATGCATTTTCATCTGTCTCTTTAGCCAGATTCTTCCTAGAAATCGTTGCTATTCAGCAATAGGTGAAGGTTTCCTTTTTGAAATCTTAATGAAAAGAGTATAAATAATGTTCTACCTTCCACCCAAGACGGGCAGGATTATTTCTTCTCCCACTTATACAAATGGAAGGAATGGTTATGGATGGATTGTGTTTTCCTGCAGCCAGGCTGGATGACAATCTGGTTGACTTCCAGGACACAGCTTTTCAGGATGCTGCTTCTTCAGCAGCTGCAGTGCCCACGCTGGTGGGATGTCTGGCACGTGGGACCGCAGAGTAAATGCTTAATTAGGAGATTGCTCACAAAGGCAGTGGTACAAGGCCTCATTAGAGGCTTCAGGCATAATGTGGTTGATCTCAAAACACGAACAGAATACTTTCAGGCTTAAATAGCAGAGTGATCACATCAGTCTCTGCAAGAATCCCTAGGTGTCTGAGGCACTGGACATAAATTAGTATCATCAGTTCAAACACCTTGAAAATTGGAAATAAATTATGCCAGACACTGGAGACAGATGGCATCCATACACCAGGCAGAGCCAGAAAGCCCAGCGCTTTGGACATCTGTAGATAAATTCCCCGAAGCACCTGGAGCAGCAGAGAAGAGAGGAGAAAGTGATTTGTGCCTGAGAACGGATGTTTTTTTGGAAGCATCACTTCAGCTTCATCCAGAGCACAAGCAGCAAAGAGAGAAACTCATTCACTAACCCAGCCTTCTGCTGTCTCCTCCTATAGGGATATAAATATGGCTGAAAAATGTCTGCACTGTTTATTACTTTGAAGTCAAATGTGCACCAGCTATTTTCAGAAACATGGGAGAAGTAATGCCTTCTGGCTGGCTTTGAGTTGCTAGGTCGTCTGAATAATTTCCCTTTCCCTGTCCCCCTGCTTTTATATACACATGGAAAGGCAGACGTGGATATTTTAATGTATGTATTAAAAGTAGACCAAAAGTTAGCATGCTGTTTGGAGATATGTGGCATAGAAATAAATCGCAGAGGAGAGCAGGGAAGGAATGTGTGCTGCTCCCTGGCAGCCTTGGCTCGCTTGGGGCTGCACAGCAGAGCAAAGCACAGCTCCTGCCTCGCAGCCTCGAATAGATCAAGCTCTTTTGTTTCCCCACGTGTAGGGTCACTGTTGTTTGCTTTCTCACCTGCATCAAGCAAACAAAAAATATCCTTGAAAAACGGATCCAGGTCCAACCGGTCAGTGAGATATGGGACTTGGCAGGTAGCTGAATGCTGCAGGACCGATCCTCAGCCTGATGCCACCAAGAACAAACGAGATCTGCACGACAGCACCCCACGCTTCCCAGAGCTCAGAAAACAGGAAGGGACATGAGACAAAGCTGATGGCATAGCCCAGGCACCAGCAGAACAGTTATGCACAGAATTCCATAAGAACACAGCCTGCTTGTAACACTCCTTATTGTTATCCATGTCTTTCCAGCCATACAATGGACAGACGACTACAAGACAACTCTATGCTGTCTCTAGAGGGTTCCGTGTGCACCGGCAGAGAGACAGAACTCTAACAAAGAGGATGGCAGTACTCGAGGTTGTCTTAATTGAGTGCTAATGGGTCCCAACCTGGAGACAGGCTCAGCTGGGTGCCATTTGCTCTAATTGATAAGAAGCCCTGATTGGGTCCTTGGAGGGTGCTGGTTCCTCACTGAACTTACTAAAGGGAAGCTGGAAAAGGAAATCCCTGTTGCTTAAAAGGGAGAAGTTTTAGTTATGGATTGTCTGCTGTAAAGCAAGTGGAAAGATTTAAAAAACAAAACAAAAAAAAACCTACAATGGAGCTGAGAATGGGAGTGGAGTGGATCAAATGAAGTTGCTTTGAAGAAATGACTTTAATGTGAAAGGAAGTTGTTCAGTGCAGGTAGGAGGAGGGTCCTTGGCAGGGGTTGCTGGCAGCTACTGGTAAATGAGAGCTGCGGTTCTGCTCCTGCTGTGCTGCTTGAGCAATAAGTGGGCTGGGAGATGGGGAGGCTGCAGGAGGTGGGATGGTACTGCTGTTGCCCTGCTCCCTCCTTGCTTGCAGCTGCAGAGCTGCCTGCACGGCTTGCAGGAATGCCGTGTGCTGGAAGGAGGAGTCTCTGGAGCCTCCCATGAGGTGTGGCTCATCAATATCTTAAGGTGAGGATGTCTACTTGAGTTTGAGTAGCTCTAGTTGCTGCTATGTGAACAGTGGTGTAGAGCTCTGTATGGAGGAATGGTAGCAGGAGAGCAGCTTCCTTCAGAATGGCTCTGAGTGTGCTAGCAGTGCTGATACGAGTGACAGTCTTCAGCTTATAGATGAAATAGCTTCTGTCCTCCTGGAGCGTGTTTGTTGCAGCCCTTGCTTGCAGCAGGGATAGATGGAGGAAACTAAATATTCTGCTTGTCCCTGACTCTGCCACAGTTAACCCTGTGCAAGTGAAAAGGAAGCTGAGTTACAGAGAGGTCATGCCTCAAATGAGGTCCAGCAAGCCTAAATTTATCCTGTCCTCTGACAGAAGTTAGACTGGAACGATGCAAATGGTGGAGGCTGCTGTTTATTTTGCTTCTGTGTTGCTGAAAATCCTGGACTTTTTCCTTTTTTGGCTAAACTGACCCATGGTGCCTGACTCTACTGTACCTTCAGTGTCTCAGCTGGTGCCATTCAAGTCTTTCCCACCCATGGTTTCCTTTCCTGCAGGAGGAGGGAGTTCAGCAGGCAGCATACGGCCTTGCTGCGATGCCAGGCACTGGCAATAGCCTCATTACTGAGGATCCCTCTTCCTTTCCCTTTTTCCTGCTAGAACCATGAAGCACTTGCAGCTGTGAAGGCAGCTTCTGAGCATGGCTCACCTGCTTGATGCAACTCAAAGGAGCTCCTTAGAAAGCCCCTGTAAAAGTATCCAAGGGATGGCTGGGTATTTTGTTAGGGTGGGTATCTTGCCTCTGGTGCATTTTTTTGGTCATGTCTTTGAACTATAACTGGTAACAAGTGTTGTTTTTCTTTTTTTAATCGCAACCTTAGATGGTCAACAGCAGATGCTCTGGGGGAAGGGGTGAGGGAGCAAGCAAGGGATGATCCTTGTGCCGTTCTTTCAGATGCAGCTACCAAACAAGACTGCTGTAACCATATGAATTCTATGTGTCTCTGCCAGTGAAGAAAGAAAACTACAGCAGGCATATCAAGGAGACCAGCAGAGTCTCATCACTGAGTGTGCCCTGCTGACTTATCAGCTTTTAAATTGCTGACAAATGACAAGTTCCTGTAATGATCCAGTTCAGGGGGTCCCTACTTGGAGAAACACTGGGATCCTTCTGGCAGGGTCATTACTGGAGGTCGTTAATCACTGATTTGATATTCAAAGCTGATGGCGAAGTCAAAGCAGGTCAGCGTGCTAATGGTCATCAGCAGTGGCAACGACCAATTTCCCCGGAATTATTGTCAGCACAAGCAGCAATAAGCAGCTCAGGAAAGACAATCTTTTATTTTTACATGGAAACCAATATGAGGTGGGTTGCATGAGCAGAATGAACCACCGCCTGACAGGAGGCAGATCTGCTTCTAATTGGGAGAAGAGAGATGCAATTGTAATTCTGCAGGGAAGGAATGTTTCTCAGCTGAGAGCATCTGCTGTCATCTTCAACTGAGGAGTTAAGCAAGGTAATGCTTCTGGTTAGTGTGAGAAAGCTGGTGTTCCTTACAGGTGAGTGGTGAGGATGAGTCCATCCTCGTGGCTGGAGAACAGCCCCTGGTGTGAGGCAGAGTCCTGTGTAGCCCAGTTTGGAGGTGGAATGTAACTGTTGTGAGTTCTTGAAGTCATTGTTTGGCTCTTTCATGGTATGGAGGCACACGAGGAGTCAGCTGGTCTGGCATGTGGGCAGTTTGCTGTAGTCCCCTGCTCTGTTACAGCAGCTTAATTTTTCGTGAATACAAAATATAATAAAAATACTTTATTTGTTTATAAACACCTTAATAAGTAGTTTTTCTTTCATATTTTTATTCACTTTAAAACTCAAATGAGATCACTAATTCCACCCCGAGGGCCTGAAGCAGTGCTGCTCTTAAGGCTTAAAGCAGTGAGTGGGGTCCTCCATCTGCACTTCTGCCTGCACTGACGGACTTGGAGCTGCTGTGCTGATATGTGTGTAAAATCAGAACAAAAAGATGACCTCTGCCCTATTCATATCCCAGACTAACGCCATCCTCTTATCTCATTTTTCTTTGGGGAAAAAGGATTCCAGCTTTGCTTCAGGGATTACCTGTTGCTCTGAATTATTGTCTTAGGATATATGAATCTGGGCTGCATCTTGAAATTATTTCTATGGAAGCATGTGTGGTGTGAGAACAGTACCTCTGGAAATTGGGAGAATGGGACAAGTGCTGTTTGATCACACTGACCTTTGCCAAAGGCAGGTCTCCATCTGGGGATAAGGCAGGAGCTTCATCTCTCATTGCTGTTCCGCTGTCTGAGTGGTTTTTGACTGATGCAAGTTTGTCCAAAATGGACACACATGTACTAGGAATTGGACTTGAGACTAGCAATTAATTTCACATAATACCTTTGTTGTCCCTGCCTTGGACCAGATTTGAACTGGTGACCTGGAGATGAAAGTCACCATAGTCCCTTAATAGTCCCCTGAGGCAGGCAAGGCAGCCTCCTTGCTGGCTGTGCTGAAAAGCCACAGCCAGGCTATTTCCCTGCCTTCCCCCCAGTTTAGCCCTCACTCACCCCCTTCCCACCTCCTCCAGCTCTTCTTTGCCTGCTGGGCATGACCAGGATAAAAGGAAGAGCAATGAGAGCCATATGTGGGGCCTTTTAACCCTTCTGTATGGCCTGTGGTGAGTCTGGCAGTGGCAGAGTTGTGTGATCCCTGAGGGTCCTCTGGATGACTTGAGCCTCTGGTCACGGCACTGAGAGGGGGCCATGTCCTGTGGAAAGCCTCTCTGATGTTACATCTTCTAGAGAAGAAGTGAGGATGTCAGTCTTCTTGCCGTCTTGTTTGTGAGCCGTGCACCTGAAGTCCCCAGTACCTTGGTGAGGTAGCACAGCTGTTATCCTACCAATGTCCAGACCTGCTTTGGGATCGGTGGCAACCCCTCAGCACTGCTGTGTGGGCTTTCTTCTACTGGTGGTGAAGGTGCCATGTTTTGGGCTGCATCCTTGGCTATGAGAGCTGGAAAGTTCCAGGCCTTCCTTCAGGCTTTTGCACCTTACTGCAGCATACTCAAGCAGTATTTCCCAACTCTGCTGCAAACAGGTCCAGAAATCAGAGAAATGCTGAAAACCCCACGTGTCCCACTCTGCCTGTGCTGGGCAGGCTGCCAGATTGGTGACACAAGCAGATTAGTGGGGGGGGCTTTTTGCAGCAGGCTCCGTGCTGGGGGGTGCTGCAGCCTTCCACATCTCCCCACCAGCTGACACTGAGCAGGAGAGGCAGCCCTTCCCCAGCCAACCAGTTCTGCCCCTTCTCTCACAGACATCTTAAGGACCTTACAAAGCCTTATGCATGTGGGCTCATGGCCCTGGCAAGGCAGAAGCTGCCTGCGGGCAGGATAACCCCCATTTGGACAGCTTGATGAAGACATCACTCATCAGGCATCAGCCCTCTCCAGGTAACAAATCTCCTGGCCCTGCTTTGCAGGAATGTCTGCAGTCAGCACTCACACCTGAGGCTGTCCGCCTTCAAAGCCCTTCCTCTCTGCATGTGCTGCTTTTGGGGCCAGGCCCTGAGAAGAGCCCCAGCCAAGCACCTCCCAGCTGTTGGAATGGTGAGAGAATGTCAGCATGGGGCAGGAGGGAGGGGGGTGGGATTGGTCCTCCTAGAAGGAACTTAGCTTCCCCTCCAGGTTGTCAGGATCCAGCTGGGAGGATGGCTAACAGAGCTGGGCTGCTCCGTTAGCACCCATTCCTACCTATGCCTTTTAAATCAACCCTACTGTACAATAATAGTATTATTAATAATGAAACTTTTGTACTGTATTTTTTAGCCACCCCAAGGGTCACAAAGTGAAGTGGAAGACTGAGGAAGGGTTTACGTGTGTGAAGGACATTAGTTGGTGAGGTTGGTTCTGGTCTGTGAGTTAGCATCCCTTGATGTCTTGCCACGAGGAGGTGATGAGATGACAACTCAGTCTTCCTGCTGTTGTGCAGGAATAATACAATGAAGGTGTTCAGCTGTGGAAGTGAGGGCTGGCAGCCCTATGAAGCTCTACGTCTTTTCTACATTGCGTGATAGATGGGGGTTGGCCTCTTTTCCCAGGTGACAACAATAGGATGAGAGTTAATGGTGTTAAGTTATGGGAAATTCAGGCTGGATATTAGGAAAAAATAATTCTCAGATGGGTGAGGCATTAGAACAGGCTGTCAGGGAGGTGGTGGAGTCAGCATCCCTGGAGGTGATCAAGAACTATGGGGGTGTGGCAATGAGGGACGTGGTCAGTGGGCACAGTATGGTTGGACTGGGTGATCTTAGTGGTCTTCTCTAATCTTAATGATCCCTAAAGTAGGAGAGGGGAATGTCTATGAAAGCTGTGTCTGAGTTGTCTGTTTGGAAATGGAGTTGGGGTGGGTAGCTCTGTGCCCACTGAATTTTGGGTGATCTGCTCCACTGCAAGAGGACCACTGTCTGCCCAGTGCACTGCGTTGTGCGTTCCCACACCTCCTGTTGGATGTTAAGTGGATTCTGCTCTGCGCTTCATTTTCTACACAAACTTTGCTCCATCAGGATAATAATGAGATTCAAGTGGGGAGAATTTTATATTAGTTGGTCAGGTGTCAGAGGAAGGAATAATTTCTTCTTCCATGCAAGAGGACGTCCAGCCACGTTGCAGTGTGGGTCTTTGAAGCACTGTGGTGGTTTTTTGTTAGGGAGAGAAACGTCTCCTTGGAATAACAGGAAATA